TGCCAGCATTGAGGTTTATTGTTGGTGGCCATCTTGGTTGTGGCATTGGGGATGCACTGCGCATACGTAGTGCGACCCTGCCCACAACAAAGATGACTGTCACATGCTTTTTGTGGACAAAAAGGTGCTGTGACTACATATAATATATGTAGAATGCCTAATGTTAAAAATGCAATACAACTTGCAGCTAGTATTCAGGCAGTGTGGTTCACAGCATTTCATGGGTCATTTACACTGACTTGTTTTTGTAAAGCAGGACTCTGGTCATATTAAGCATTAACCCCTGCAGTGGAGCCACCCCTGCACTTCAAGGGTTAACTGCTCGTTTTGGTCTAAAATAAAAAAGATACACTTACCTGAGTCTCGGCCCCGTCTGGCAGCTAGACCGCTCTCCACAGCCTCTTCTCCCCTGGGCTCCGGTGGTCTAAGGACCCGTGACATCATCACATCTAATGCAGTGTATTCGACGTGAGGACGCCGAGGTACATTCCACCCCCAGAGCAGAAGGAGAGAGAGGTCAGGAGAGAGGATCCGGTGAGTATATCTTTTTTATTTTAGACCCTAGACCAAAACGAACAGTTAACCTACAGCTACACTTAACAGCTACACTAAAACAAAATTGGGGAGAAGAGGCTGCAGAGTTTGGTCTAGCAGCCAGGCAGGACTAAGGACCAGGTGAGTATATCTTTTATTTTAGACCCTAGAAAAGAATAAGCACCTAACCCTTGCAGCGTTCTTCTATAAAGGAGAACTATGGGGGTCAGGGCTTTTCCCCATAGTTCTCCTAAGGGTAACGGGAGGACACAAACTAGCATCCTCCCGACACCCTAACCTCAGTATACAGCTACAGCTCGCGGTATACTGAGACGCTGCAGCCGGGACGGATCCCAACATTACTGTCGAGATCCACCCAGCTGCGGGATTGACAGCTGGCTCTGCCTATCGAGAGGCAGAGTCAACTGTGCCAGCCCCCAACCCTCGTCCGTTTCGCCAGCCAGTGCTGGAGGATCTGACAGGGGAGGGGGGGGGGGAATCCCAGCAGGGAGCCATGAGTGACAGTCACGGCTCTCTGCAGGGATAAATCGAGAAGTGAGAGAGCGACTGTGTGTGTTCGCTCACTTCCCGATCTACTCAGCTGACGTGTGACAGTTTCATTGTTACAGGTTGGCTAGAACTATGAGGCTGAGTGATTTTTCACTCACCTCGTAGTTCTCCTTTAAGTACTTTTCAGGACTGTTTCAATCTGCTGCTAATGAAAGAATTGTCAGCAAGTTGTAAAACCTCTCAGTAACAAGAGATTAAACTCACCCATGTAGATGGGATATTTTTCACGACAGAGCATCTTAGTGGGCCAATGTTACAGTAACAAGGTGAGCTTGCGTAGAAAACAAATCTCTGCTAAATTCTTACAGTATCCTGCCACTGAAAAGATAAACTAGACGGAGACTGCCTGCAGGAAGTGTGACTCACCCTGAGCAGTGATGTCATTAGCAATAAAAAGATGATCCAACATTCTGAATAATATATGTCCCTTGGGTGCCTATTTCTACAAATAATTGTTTACTGCACGAAACACCCTGCTGATGCAAATCTTATGTGTGGAAGTGAAATATGAACAGTCTTTTCCTGTTATACTTGTAACATACTAACTCTGCCCCACAAAAAGAGCAACCTTGTAAATCAATACAATTGTTACAGTTACAGACCCCACTTACTCCTATGCATATGCATAAAGCCCATGACACGCTGCAGGCAACGCAGTACGAAGTGGTGCAAAGAAAAGAAACTAGAAAAAATGGCAACCTTCACTTCACCCTGCACCACCCTGCAGCTTGTCTACACTGTAGTTTGTACTGTAGTTTAAAAGAGGTAAACTATGGGGTAAGTGTTTTTCCTCATAGTTCACTTAAAGTGACATTAATGGCAAAAGTTTCCCCCCGTGCTAATGTAAGGACTTACTTTAAATGATGCCTTAATCTGATCATCTTCTTCTTCTTTCCAGGAGTTTTTAGCTGTCCCTCCAGCTCTTGTGCAGGTCTCCGATCCAGCGCTGACTCCTCTGTCCTCCTCTTATCTGCTGTCCCACGGTGTCTGTGCGGGTGCACGCTGCTCCATAGACTTACCGTGTGTCTCTCCTCGTCTCCCAGCCGAACATCTGAACTGCGCCCCCCGGTAAATTTTCAGATGTTCGGACGGGAGCATGCACAGGTACAGGTAGGTATTAACACTTTGAAAAAGGTTTTTCTTTTTTTATCATTTGCAAGCAGTAGATATATTTAAAAACCCTTCAAGGGTCACGGGAGGACATATACTAACCTCCTCCCTTGACCCAAAGCACAGTATATCGCGAGCTACAGCTCGCGGTATACTGAGACCGCCGCAGTCGGGACGGATCCCGACAATTTTATCGAGGTCCACCCAGCTGCGTGAGTGACAGCGGGCTCTGCCTATCTGAGGCAGAGCCATCTGTGCCTGCCCCCTTCCCCGTCCATTCCTTCAGTCAGCGCTGGAGGATTGGAGAGGAGAGGATTCCCTGCGGGGAGCCGTGACTGGCAGTCACGGCTCTCTGCAGGTACATGATCGAGAAGTGAGTGAGCAATGGTATGTGTTCCCAATCTATTGAGCCGACGTGTGACAGTTTTATATTATTTAATAGACAAGTGCCAAAGATGAGAGCCAGACAGAACTTGGGCTGGAAGGAAAACATACCACACCAACTTCTCTCTTGGACTCACCAGACGCTTTTGTCTGGGGGAATCCAATTGGTCACTCGCATGCACCCGCATCCCGGGCGCATGGATTCATACGCATGCGCCGTTTGCCTAGAGATTAAATTTAAACAGTTTAAAACCACGAGGGGCAGTTTTCAGTTCCGAAGCCTAGCGCAGCAATGCTAAACATGATGAGTGAAGCAGATTTACTATAAGGGCTCGTGTACACCAGCAGCAATCGGCTACATTGCCCAAGGCAAGAACAAGGTAATTTGTCTTATGTCTTGTGGGTTCAGTGCAGCTCAACACTGTAATTGTAACTTAAAGCAGAACTCCGGAGAAAATTACATTTACCCACTGCAAGGGTTAAGTGCTCGTTTTGGTTTAGAGGAAAAAATAACCAAGTTATACTCCTCTGCAGCAGTGATGGAATGTCCCTCGGCGTCTTCACGTCCTACACAGTTTATAAAGAATGTGATGACTCACGGACCTTAGACCGCTGCAGCAGAGGGGGAAAGACGCTTTAAAGGCCGGCCTAACAGCAAGCCGGCTCCGAGGATCAGGTTTGTTATTTTCCTCCCTTCATCAAAACAAGCATTTGCAGTGTGGGGGTAGCCACAAATCCTGCATGCCATAGAATAGAACCTGACCCCAGGAAGGTTTATTGTATCCATCGCAACCCTTACAAGCTTGCCCGCAGTTCATGCCGGGTGCTGCGGTGACTTGGTAGATAGTGCCATCATGTAATCATAGGGAAATCAGGATCTTGACCAGCACACCTTGGTATAGTGATAACCTCTCAGCTTATAGGAAGGGATCCTGTGAGTTAGCCAAATGTCATCCACTGACGCCTGTGGCTCTATCTTCCTAAAACCTGCCCCTGACCATAGTGATGTGCATGGGCTTCCTTAGTTAACCAGAGCTCGCCCAAGCCTGTGCAAAACTGTCAGTGACACCCCCTCCCGGGACCAATCAAATGCGCAAGTCTGCCCAGAGGTTGCAAATACACAGATAAGCTTGATGTAATATACATCACTTCCTGCATTCAGGGACAGCAGAGTACTAATCTCCCTTTGATCTCCAGTAACAGAGTCACCGTGCCGGTCCCAGCACGAACGGGGGGAGGGACAAGACGTCTTAAGACGCCCTCCCACACCTATAAGGCTCCTGTCCGGCCATTCAGGAACAGCCATGGACCGGAGGTGGTTAAAGTCATATTACAGACTAAATATTTTGAAGCTATTTCAAATGCTGATGAAGTCACTTACAATGGAGGCTGCTTCTCAATGTTTAAATGTTTTAACTTCCTGCATAATCAGCTGGTCCCCTAAACACTGCTCCTGATATCTAGTTTTAGGGTGGCTCCTTTCACTTGCAGGGTCCTATTGAGTCACCCTTGTGTATGCTAAATAGGCTATGTGTGTCTCCACAAGCACACAGACACAGCAAGGCAATCCACTCCCCTGTTCCACACTCTGCCCTCCTCCTTGCTCCCTTCATCATTATCAAAGTAAGTATATGTATAGTGGCACAGCTCTGCAAATCTGGGACATTTGGCATCTAAGCAGTAGTAGAGAGCTAAAAATACACTGATACTACTATACCATAGATGATAATGATAATACTACTTTATACAAAAAAATAATAATCTATATATTCACTTTATATCTGATGGTTTTAAATTGATCAGAATAATTAGTTTGCAGACAATGTACAACTATTAACAGGTGTTTCCTTTTGCCTAGCAACAGTTTAATCGTCTTGTTTTATTATTGGGCCGCGTCACCCTCCTCTGTCGCTCTCATTTTTTTCATTGGCAAATATTCGATAGAAACAGCCAATCAGGTGCAGCCACGGTCTCAATACAAGCTTAAGCCGCAAATGACTGTATTGAATGTACGGGGCTTTCCCTTCTAAAATAATTGTGGATTTGCACAAAAAAAAAACACAAGTTAAAGTAGAATGATACTGCTAGCTAACTAACGTCCCGATGATAACTCTTTTTCTTTGTATGGCTTAGTAGACTCCCACCACAAATGTGACATTTGGTACATTCCTCTCCGTTATCTAAGGCTGACAGGACGGTGCCACCTGAAAAAGATAGGGTTTCTTTGGCAAAAATATCTGCATGTGCTAACTGCAGCTTATACAAAGTATTTGCTGCGTCTGATGTACGCGGTCAAGGGAGCAGTGTCAATTCTTGCAGATGAAGACAAACCATTCACCAATGTGTGAGGTATTGATTTTATCTTTCTCCCCTATAGCTCTGTTGTGTGGGAGCGTCCAACCGGAAGTGAGGTGTCTGTTGATATAGGCGCTTCCTGTTTTGGGGTGTTAGTGACAGCAACATCTGGGAAGGGACCGGGGACTGTGAGCAGAGCCGTAACTGAGCCGGGGTAATGTTGATGATGTGTGACTGGCAGGGGGTGGAGGGCTGTACATAGACTTGCACAGAAAGAAGGCTATAATATGCTGTAGTGGGAAGCCTGTGCAGGATGGCTGACAGGGCTTTGTGATCGCCTGCAGTACTCAATAAGAGAGTAGTGAAAGGTAAGATGAGATGCCACCCTACAGACACAAAGGGTCTTATCCCCCTGCAGACACATAGGGGGTAGTGACCCTGCAGACGCGTAGGGGGTGACCCCCCTCGCTGCAAATGCATAGGGGGTGACCCCCCCTTGCTGCAGATGCGTAGGGGGTGACCCCCCTGCAGATGTGTAGGGGGTGACCCCCCCACAGACGCGTAGGTAGGCGTGTAGGGTCACCCCCCCCTGCAGATTGCTGTCTATTTGGGACTGCTTAATTTAAAGAGGATAAAACCTGATAGAGAAATTATTAAAGGAGGGGTCAGTGTTCTGCAGTGATGTGAATTTGAATATATTTGATCTCCTTTTGTAATCTATGAATTTTTTGTTGCTTTTGTTTTCAAAATCTCTTATATTTTAAAATGATGAGCATGTTCGCTTGTTTCCTATCACATGAGACAGTTTTTCAACACTGATCTGGAAAATTGGTATTGGTGCTTCAAGTGTAGGTAGGGCCAAAACTTTTTAATTTGGGATAGAGTGGGGAAGGGTTGAAACCCCGGCCAGGTTATTTTGGGGGAATGTCACTTTCTGTCCCAAGGAGACCTTTACAGGACATTAGTGGAAATCTCCCAAAGTGAGAGGAATAGACTGTTCACGCCAACACGTGCTCCTATTGGAAGAAGCACCTCTTGTTCTGGGGACAACACTGAAATGTTGGATTTCTACTCACTTTCTTTCTTGGTGACCATAGAGTGGTGACTTTCCCCAATGAGGACACAGACAGCAATAAAAACTTGGCACAGGGTCTAACTCTTCCCTACACTATAGAAACCTAAAAAAAAGGTTCTGCCCGGAGATACTTTAAAGCTGAACTCACGGGGGAAAAGTATTATTTGCAATCCAGCGTTAGCTATGTAAGTTATATTTATTAATATGTATATTCTGTGCAGATGGCTGCTGCTTAGTATAAAAAAATCATATCTTGTTACACGCCGAATCCTACCCACGATGCTGGCTATGGCAGTGAAGGGCCCCAGTTTCATCCCTGCCCCCTCCTTTCTCTTTGACCATTCACAAAAAGCCTTGTAGCTTTTTCACAGAATACAAGGTGTTCTGTGAATGGAGGAGGAGAGATCATGTTGCATACCTGCTCCAATCACAGAACACCTTGTATTCTGTAAAAAAAATTAATAAAATACAAGGCTTTTTGTCAATGGTCCATGAGAGGGCAGCGATGCAACTGGAGCCCTTCACTAACATAACCGCTGCTGCCACTCACTGCCATGGCCGGCGCTGGGTGTAGGATTCTGATTGTAGCAAGGTATGATTTTTAACTAAGCAGCAGCCATTAACACACTGTATACATATTATTACTTATCACGTACAGTATCTCAAATAATTGGTTCAGCTTTAGGTGATTTTACATAAAAAGGACTAACTATCGGTCCTGTACTGTTCCAAGCTGGCTGGATATTATTGCGTGAGATGTTTCATACAGGTAATAATAAATGTCGGCAGCGATGCAGAAACATAACTTGTTGGCTTCCTGTTCACAGATGCTTCCTGCAGGTGCAGAGACATCATCTGAGCCGGTGAAACCAATACCTCCATTGAGTGATCATAACGGTTTTATTGCATGCATGCCATTATGATGGCTGATGTAACACTAACCTGCTCTTTGTGTAGGCTTATCTCAGGGTTTGATATCTCTAACTAATATTTACCATGAATCAATTTGGAAATACTCCTCGTACCAGTTTGTTTTTGTGTAAGATTTATTTGTGGAAAAGTTACGCTAGAATGTATTTGAGCGGGTACTGCACTCACCCAATGGAAACCAATCGACTGATATCATCGAGAGGTTAACATCATGGACAAATGAATATGGAATTCAGGAAGCAGTCTGTTCAGTCCAGGAACCAGGAGGATTTTTTTGTAGTTAACTGCTTTGACGACAACAACTAGAGAAAACCTCAAAGATTGGGCACCAGCTGTCCTTTTTAAAGGATATCTATGGCCTAATGCTTTTTGGGATCCTTCCGGGTCACAGGAGGACATATACTAACGTCCTCCAGTGACCCAAAACTCAGTATATAGCGGGCTATTGCCAGCTATATGCTGGCAGCGCACAGCCATGCCGAAGCTGGGACGGATCCTGACAATACTGTCGAAATCTACCCCGCTTGCTGATTGACAGCTGGCTCTGCCTTTCCAGAAGCAGAGCCAACTGTGCCCGCCCCCTCCCCTGTCCATTACTCTAGTCAGCGCAGGAAAAACTGAGAGATGAAGGGTGAAATCCCTGCAGGGAGTGGTGACTGACAGTCACTGCTCTCAGCAGGGAGAGAATCAATAAGTCAGCGATTTGGAGGTATGTGTTCCTTAACTTCCTGATCAATAGCTTCAGCGTCACAGGTCGGCTTGAACAATGGGGATGAGTGCTTTTCATTCACGCCATAATTTTCCTTTAAGGAGTATTGGCTATCTGCCTCCTAGGAGGGTTCAGCCCTGATTTACATTAATGCTCATGGTTATTACTTTCCATCACATAATGTCTTTTCTTTTCAGTGGCCTTATTTAGGAACATATTGCTTGTGGGTACACTTAAACAGAAGGATATTAAAGAAACGTAGTCAAATATGGGGCTCGCCTTGACTTTACAAGTATACTAGTGGTCTGGCTGTTTCCTGGAACTAATACTGGCGATGGAGGGTTTGCATGGAAGCTAGCATTTTCTGAACAGGATCTCCATAATAGCAATCCCTATTCCCTCTTGGTACAGGCTGTGTATTTAAATCCAAACAATTAACTTTTCTTATTTGCTCCCTTGTGGTCTGTAAAATATTCAATAGAATGTGTTTTGTTATACATGTTGGATAAGTACAGAAAATAACTGTTAATCCTGCAAGAAATCCAGTAAGCTGATAACTTCTTGTGCTTCTCTGTTGATTGCTATTACTGAGCACTGTTCTAAGATCTCTCTGTGAACTTCAGTTCCCTATATTATGGAGATGAGAAGTGAGGGAGGTATTCTGTAGTCTGAACTTACTTCCTGTCCTAGGATGACAACGCTGCTTCTCCGTAGTGAGTGATCATTGTAACCCTAGGACAAGAAGTGTATTATTAGCAAGATCACCAGGTGAAAACAGAGGGAGGGGAAAAAAGAAAACTAATGCAGCTATCACATCTAAGGCTGCAGTCTATGACATTTTAATTCTTGTGTTTAGATACACTTTAACAACCTCTTTAGTTTTTAACAGGTGATCAGATGTTGTAGTCAAACCTATCCCTCCCTGATGAATAACCAAACATTTCCAACTAAACCTGTCCACAGTTTGTCTGATTATTGTAGTCTGATGATTGGACTCACAATTAGACATTGGCAGTGTTGGAAATGATCCCTCTAAATTGGTCGTCTGAGCTCTTGAATAGGTTTCTGCACTTTTTTTTAGTGTCATAAAGCATGTCTTGACTGTGTAGTTCACTGGGCTGAGATCTACAAAGCAATGGACAGCTTGAAGTACCGTTTGTTTACACATGACTGTTTACTGCTGCCACGTACAGACTGGATTGCTGATGTAAATGTACTTCTCATTGTAGACTATAGGTATGCAGCTCCATCCACAACAACTAGGGAAAACCTCAAAAGTTAGGCGCAAGCTGGAATTTTTCAGGAGCATTGGCTACCTGGCTACTGGGAGTTAATCCATTACTGATGTTAGACACCCCACTTACAGGAAAACTTTATATCGATTTCCTGCACCCAAATGCACATCTCAGTTTAGCAAACCGGTCTCTCTGTTTGGCAACATCGTATGATTTCTATAGTCCCTAGAATAAATAACAGGACAATGCCTGATGGGAGCAGTCTAGCTTACACAGCTATTCAGTTTTGAAGGGTGATAATGAGTAATGATGGGCTTAGTAAAGCCATACACCCTGGGGTCTATTTACTACATCAGAATACTTTCAATCTGAAAAGAGAATACAACCCCCAATTTCAAAGAAGTTAAGACGCTGTGTAAAATCTTCAGAAGAACAGAATGAAATGATTTGCAAATCTCATAAACCCAAATTTTATTCACAATAGAAAATATTAAACACGTCAAATGTTTAAAACAGAGAAAATGCGCCATTTTAAGAAAAAAATAAGGTCAGTTTGAAATTGAGGGCAGCAACAGGTCTCCAAAAAGTTGGGACAGGGCAACATTTACCAGGGTGTACTATTCCCTCTTCTTTTAACAACACTCTCTAAATGTCTGGGAACTGAAGAGACCAGTTGCTGGAGTTTTGGAATATGAATGTTGTCCCATTTGTGCCTGATATAGGATTCTAACAGCTCGACAGTCCTGGGTCTTTATCATATTTTTCATTTCAAGATGCGCCAAATATTTTGAATTGGTGTAAGGTCTGGACTGCGGGCAGGTCAGTTAGGCACCCGGATTTGTCTACTACGAAGCCATGCTGTTGTCATAGATGCAGTTTAGTATTGTCCTGCTGAAATATGCAAGGCCTTCCCTGAAAGACATCATCTGGATGGGAGCATATTCTGTTCTAAGGGCTTGTTCACATAAAAGGCTGCAAGCTCTATTTTTTTTTCAGATCGCACTCAACCTAGCTGGGATGCGATACAGTGTGTTCCAGCAGCTAACCATGCTGGAACGCACTGTAACTCATGTATACAGGGCCCTAAAACCTGGTGCCTTTCCGGATGTGTAAGCTGACCATTCCATACAAACTAATGCACCTCCATACCATCAGAAATGCAGGCTTTTAAACTGAGCACTGATAACAAGCCAGAAGGTCCCTCTCCTCTCTAGTCAGGACAACGCAAAGCTCATGGTTGCCTAAATGATGTCAAATTTTGATTCGTCTGACCACAGAACAGTTTTCCTCTTTGCAACAGACCATTTTAAATGGGCTTTGGCCCAGAAAAGACTGCAGCGTTTCTGGGTCATATGGCTTCTTCTTTGCATGGTAGAGCTTTAACTGGAATTTTTGGATGGCACAGGGATTTTTGGAAGTATTCCTGAGCCCATGAAGTGGTGTCCATCACAGAATCATGACTGTATTTAATGTAGTGCCATGTAAAGGTCTGAAGATCACGGCATCCCTATTGTGTTTCAGGCTTGTCCCTTGCACACAGAGATTTTTCCAGATTCTCTGAATCTTTTGATGATATAATGTACTGTAGATGCTGATATTTTTAAAGTCGTTGCAATTTTATGTCAAAGGACAAAATTGTTCGACAATTTTTAGACACAGCTTTTCACAGATTCTGCCAATCTTTACTTCTGAGACACTCTGACTCTCTAAGATGCTCTTTTTATACCCAATCATGTTACTGGCTTGTTGCCAGTTAACCCAATTAGTTGCAAAATGTTCTTCCAGCTCTTCCTTGTTAGTACCACTTACTTTGCCAGCTTTTTGTTGCCCTGTCTCAGTTTTTTTTGAGATGTGTTGCTGCCATCAATTTCTAAATTACCTTATTTTTTCTTAAAATGGTCCATTTTCTCGGTTTAAACATTTTGATATGCTTTCTATTTTTTTTTGTGAATAAAATATGGGTTTATGAGTTTGCCAAATCATTGCATTCTGTTTTTATGTAGATTTTACACATCGTCCCCACTTTTTTGGAATTGGGGTTGTATAATATAAATGTTTTTTGTTTTCTGCCATTATTCCCACAAAACGAACATTCGCAGATATTCACAAAGTTAAGGGCTCTGTGATTTTGTTTATAAAAAAAAAAAAAAAACATGTGGGTCTGCTTTTGTTTCTTTTTACCAAGTTTTAAATTTATCGCTAGTATAGATGCATGAAAAAGAAGCTGATGGATTTTTGTTTTTTCACCTAGTTCTCCTGTAGATTTGAGTAGATTGCAGCAGTTTCTTTTGTTGTATTAATTGTTATCTACGTGTATGTTGTTGCAATACCTGTGGCTGCGTGTTGTTGGCACAAGGCATTTTCTTGTTTGCACAGCTTTTAAAAGCAGAATACACTTACTTATAAGCTGTGCAAACTGTTCATTGGAACCTTATATGGCAGTGAAACAAAATGGCTTGATGGAACTTGTGTATATTTTTGAGAATTTTTTTTATTGTTTTACATATTAAGGCACAACGGTGCACGCTATTTGTGTCCAATGAGGACACCAGGCATAGCAATGCATACAATAATACAGCATACAGCCATGCTTAAGATCTAAATAGAAAAATAACAAAAAATTAACAATAACAACCATTACTACAGGTCAGAAGGAAATGCCCCCCTCGGGAAGCTTCCAATTACAGGTGGGGGGGAAAAAAAATGTCGGCTAGAACTATGAGGTGAGTGAAAAGCACTCACCTCATAGTTCTCCTTCAAAGCAAACTGTCCATGGGGCAGTGGTAAGCACCAGCAAACGTTTTGTGTCGTCAATAAAAAGACGATGTTGCCAAGTTAAAAAAAAAAAGTTGCAAATTTCCATAAATGATTTTATTCATTTGCAATGTGCCTTTGGACTTGCTAGAATATTTAACTATTCAAGGAGAGTCAATTCCCTAGTACAGCCCCCTCCCTTTTATGCATGTCATAGTCCTCTCCTCTTCTGGGAGTATCTAATTACGGTCTGTGCTGGCCGAGCATCTCCACCCCTACCTTCACCTTGCTACATAACCTTTTTGTGTAGAGTAGAGTAGACCTGGGAATTTTACAGCCCTTCCCTAGCCCTTTGGCTGGCGTTCTCTGGCCCACGTGAGGTCAGGTGTCCCTAAATGGCGGACATGGACCAAAGCAAGAAAGAAGGGTCATAGACATGCACTTCAGTGTATGTTAAACATGCAGCGTGGTGCACGTTAACAAATGTATGCCAGCTCATGTGCGAACGCGTCTTTATTTTTTATAATGCTATAGCGGTGTGCACTGCGGTCCTGTGATTGAACGTGGCGTCTGTTTTAAACTATTTGAAGAATGTTTGCTACATAGATCGCAGGAATTCACCATAACAATGCCACAGTTGTTTGCTATCATTGTGGCTTCCTGCAAATCATTTATTGGTAACACTCACCTCAGCTGGTTGCATATGTATGTATTCCTATGACCGTAACAGCATCTTATTTATGCAGTTGTAGGACGGATATGGTTCATGTTGCACACTTTATTCCATGTTATCTATGTTTTATGTGTAGTAAGAACTTGGCTCTGATTCCTGTTAGCAAAAGATGCGTGTCATGGCTTGCAATAGGGTTTTGAGTCTGCGAAAAATGTAAACTGTGACTTTTTGGGGTTGGTTGATGATGAAGGTGCCTGTTGGGTCTTTTAGGTCTGGGGTGGGCAACTCCGGCCCTCCAGCTGCGCTTTAACTACAAATCCTGTTTCTGAGAGACATGCCTGTAATTGTCAGAGTTGCTCACCCTTGGTTTAGGCTATAGCAGACTCGAAAGACCTTGTTTGTTTGAAAAGTCTAAAGATGTGATAGTTTTTTATACAATAGATTATTGTTCCCACAAAATAAGGGGGGATCTGCTAATAGAATAATAAATATATAGGTCTTCACAGGAAGAGACTTGTAGGAGGTAAGAAAGACCTTTCTATGGGCAGATCTTTTCATTTTATTTAAAGTGTATCTAAAGCCAAAGCTTTTTTTTTATTATTTAGTTTTGTATATAATAGGGAAGTGTGTGTATGTGTATATGTGTGTGTGTGTGTGTATATATATATATATATATTTTTTAGTGGGTGGAGAACTTGCCGAAGAAATCCCCTTTTTGTACAAGGTGTCTCCATAGGAAGATTCCCCTCATCTGTTCTGGGGATAGCTGTAAAATGGTTTCCCATCGCTTCTGTCTTGGTGACTCTGGTCACTCTGGCAGAGAGTAGAGAGAATACATCTCTCCTACGGGGACACACAAAAATAATCTAACATGTTTTAACTAGGGATGCACCGAAACTTTTCGAGTACCAGTGCCGATACTTGGCATTTTCATGAGAACTACCAGGGTTGCAGCGGTTGCAGCTGGGACCTGGCTCTGGTGCCCCACCACTGTCCTGAAATCATTAGTCGATTATTGTTTTAGAAAAACTGTCACATGACAAACAAAAATGTATTAGTACTTGTCAGTACTTGGGCAAGTATCAGTATCCAAAACTGGTATCGGTGCATCCCATATATATATATATATATATATATACACACAATTGATAAATTAAACAGAGATGTACAAATCCCAGGAGCTCCGGGTGCTCCTTACAAATGACAGCTGCCTCCTAACTTCTGAATTTTTCTGTAGTCTAGTCTTGGAGCTGGAAAAGTATCTGTACTTGTACCGAGTACGGTACTTGGTATCGGTGCATCCCTAGTTTTAACCCTTCCCCACTTCCCCACTCCATTCAAACCTAAAAAATGTGGCTTCAGATGCACTTTTTCCTCTATCTAGTTTAGTATATGGCCTACTTTAGCTTCTATGTTTTTTTTTCCATGAGTAGTTCTGTAAACCAGTACAGCAAGTGCTGTTTTCTCTGTTCAATCCAGAATGATGACTTATCTTTTCGCTTTCTCTGCTTCTCACAGGGTGCTGTCCCCTCTTCTCTGCAATGATGAGGACGGCGGTGATGACTAGTGCCAGTCTGGCACTCACAGCTGCAGTGGTGGCACATGCTTATTACCTCAAGAACCAGTTCTACCCAACAGTGGTGTACCTAACCAAATCAAGCCCCAGCATGGCTGTAAGTACAACGAGACAAGGAAAAACAGATCCTCAAATAAAGCATTGCAAACGTTTTAAGATTCTCCCTTGTAGTGAAAGTGGTTTCTGTTTCTTTAATCAGTACAGGAATATGGTTTTGCCCCCACTATCTCCTGCATGGGATCAAACTGGTAGAGGGAAACTATATTGGTTTTATAATTATGATGCCCTGTATCCTTATATTCATAGCCTAATGCCATATTGTGAAGTATAAATAAAATTCATATTTTACAAGTAAACATTATATCTGTCTATTGAGGGACGTTGGAATTCTAAAACAGTTGGGTTATACTGCCACCTACAAAAGGCTGAGATACTGGCAATCAGAAAACACATTAAGCCAGACCTATATAACCCCCCCCCCCCCCACCACCCCCCCCACTAACCAGTATGGCTCAGTCTTTTGCCAGTGTTTGAGGAGGTTGGAGGCAGAAGAAATGTTGTTAACCTTTTATCTTAGTGATATTTTTTCCATGTTGACTTCAACCAAGATCCTTGGTACATCATTGCTATTTTTCCTTGGTGACTTCAATCAAGATTTTTACATCGTGCTTTGTCCTTGGTGACTTCAGTCCAAGATTTCAACTTTTTGTGCTAGTCTCTACATAGCAGCTATCCAGATCTGCATATTCTCGGCAACAGCTTTGGAGGCTATACCTGGACCACACTGGATTGAAAGATTATGGGCTTTGCTGGAATGTGACCTTTGGAAACTGGGCTGTGTAGTGTGACATACTGTTAGTCAGCCACAGAGTGGTACAACGGTGGATGTGACCCTGTCTGAAGAATTGCTTAGTGAGTAAGGCCTGGCGGGCTGAGACATTTGAAGCTACTCGCTGTTTTTTCATTGGGCGTTTTTCCAAATTTCCTATTGCGGCTGGTTTCACCAGGCTAGGGAATCGCGCACCATGCTCTTTCTCCTGCTATTCAGCCTAGATGAAGCACCATCCTGCTGCTGCTCCTCAAGCACCACATGGATCATCTGCTCTCGTTCCACTACCATCTATAATGGCTTGGTCGCATCTGGCCAGCTGCTACCTTTGTCCTCACCAGCTGCTTGGGTTTGTGAATACACAAGGCCTTGCCTCCCTTTTGTCTAGTTTTCCGCTACACAATGCAATATGTCTTCTCAGAGATGCACAGAGGACACTCCCGCTGCAACGGATGATCTCAGCCCATACTACTCTAGTGGATCTGGGGGCATATACCCAGTATCCCCAAAAGGAACTGATGTCTGTAATCTCAACCTTGGATAATATTTAGATTCCTGTAGTAGGTAAATGGTTAGGCTCTGTTTTGGAAGGAGTCCTGCTCCTCCTTCTGCTCCTATTGTTCTTGTACATCACTCTGGCTTACAGTATCTCCTCATCCCTTATTACCTTTTGTGCAGGTGTAGTTGCTCCCTCTGCTTTTTCTTCAGAGGATTCAGGGTTGGTACCCTTAAGTTTTCTATCCAGTCTTGGGGTTCATTCCCTTCTATCCATTGGGATATTATGCTGTAAGGTTCTTGCACAGATTGCTATAACCTTCCCCATCATGGGCCTATCTTATATAGTAAGAATTAGGAATACTACTCTTGAGCCTTCTGTTCACCAGCTGGTGTTTCTTCTTTCTGGACAAGGCCCATTGTTTCTTCAGGTAGCAGTTCCCCTTGGCAGTAATTTTCTGTCCTGGTCTACAGCACCAGGTTGATCCTTGGTGTCCTCTCTTGGGTCATGGCAGTTCCCCTGTTTTGCATGGCTTTTCTTTATCTAGCTTTGATTCAGGCATAATTGCAGATACTGTATATTTTGGTCCCCACATCTGACCTCTCAGGGACTGTTGCCCACCCCTCAGATGGGCTGCTTTTGGAGGTTGCAACTGTTTTAGAACTCCTGTGTCCCTTTTAATGTACGATTTAAAGAAAATAAGATTTCAAGAAAAAGAGTTTACTGTGAGTACAAAACGCACACACATCACCTCCCTTAGCTTAAGGTATTTAAACAGCATGTTTTTTTCCATCAAAGTGATTAAAAATGTGAAAAGGGGTCCTGGTACTTGCTGGCGCATACCACATATTTTTATGCAACATTTCATATTTAACTCATTTAAAAAAAATTAACTTGTATTTGTTTTTTACTCCGACCATAATAATGAAAATGCATACAAAACCCGATACATTCCCTTTAATTCTACTTAAAATGAAATCAACAACATAACTTTGTGTATTCTCCCATAGAATGTGGATGAATCTATAAAGAACGTATGCAGAATATTATAAACAAAGAAAATAACATTGTATATGTGGTTACCTTGGTTGCATAGTCACTTCATCTGGCAGCATGTCCTAGTAGCAAAGTATATGTATGACATCACTGAGGATCACAGTGGATGAGACCAATGCAGTTATGTGGAAATCCAGAACCGATGCACTGCACTTGTGTATACATACAAACTGTACCTAACAAACACATTCCACTGCATTGGGCACAGTAAGGAAAATGTTATATGATCGTGTACCTCTAATTAAATTATCTGTTTTGATTTTAGGTTCTCTACATACAAGCATTTGTTCTGGTCTTCCTATTAGGAAAGTTTATGGGAAAAGTTTTCTTTGGTCAGTTGAGAGCAGCTGAAATGGAGGTAAGCTGGGAAATGGGCCACTTTGGTATGTTCTCTACTTTTGCTTTATGTACTTTTTTACTGTATGTCTGTGAAGGTTCTCATTCTTCAGGTTAAGTTATAGCTAGTAGTAGTTAGTCACATTTAACCAGATTTGTTCTGTAATGTTGAAGACGTTTCATAGCTTATCCGAGCCTTTTTCCCATTCTTACATTTCTCAGAAGTGGCTTGGATAACGTATGAAACATCTTTAACATTAAACAAGCCAAATGCAACAAACTACTACTAGCTATGGACTGCATGTTGTTTAGACTAGGGCTATTATCATTTCAAGCTAGATTTCTGTTGTTCATTTATGACCCAACAGCTGAGTGTGGCAACAAATTCCCAGTAACTGGTTTGTAGAAATTTCTAGTGCAGCACTTACTAATATTCAAGTGATACGGTTTTTAAGCTTTTTCAGATGCTAATAAAATCACTTACAATAGATATTGCTTCTTGATGTTGAAAAGTTTTAGCTTCCTGCAGAATCAGCTAGTCCCCTGAGTGCTGGCCCTGATATCTTGTTTTAGGGAGTCTCTTTTCCCTTGCAGGGCTCTATAGAGCCTTTCTAGTGTAAACAGGCAGATTAGACGGCCGCTCGCGGGGGCCTCCAGGTGTCCTAGCAAGGAGGAATCAGTCGTCTAATCTGCCTGTTTAGAGGCCGCCGCTGCCTGATTGTGACTGGCACGGATCGCGTACTTAGGCGACCCGGGCCGGTCGGATCTATTTCCATTGGTGGTCCCTGAACCTGGGCTCGCGTGCCAGCAGAGAGGGCCCGCGTGCCATAGGTTCGCCACCACTGGGCTAGTAGATGGACAGACTGCTCTTTCCCTTGTGATCTTGTACTAGACAGGACGTTTAGGGAAGCTGAGAGTTGGAGCTGTTTGGAAACATGATGATTGTAAGTGTTTAGGCAAAGATAGAAATATTTTGCTGGGCCGTGCATATTTGTTTGATCTGGATCCATTATTGAAATAAGTTTGAGAGTTTAATACTACTTTAAAGGTAACCTATGTTCAAAACATATTAACCAAATCACCTCTCAGTTTCTAGTAGGCACTCTTCAGCACCTTCTGCTCCCCTCTGCCATGCTGGTTATCAGTTCAGCCACCCTTGGGGCCTGTTCACATGAGTTTCAGGTCCGGATCTGTAGACGCGGTGCTACTGATGCAGTGCGTTTTGGCCGCGTTTTTGATGCGTTCCAGTTAAAAAAAATATATTTATTTTTTTTTGCTGGATTGGGGCTGTTGGTATGTTAGCTGCAGTGCAGTGCGTTTTTGATGCGTTTTTGACGCGTTTCTGTTTCCTGACTGTACAAAATGTGACGCAGTATTTTTCTGTCGTAACCTGAACGGACTGCGCACGTGAGAACTGTAGCCCATAAAACACATAGGGATACATGTGTGAACAGGCACTTAAAAGCCAGTATTTTCTGTAATGGGGGGAACAAGTGACATTCCCTCTGCCCTCCCACAATGCAGTGCTTGGTGCCTGTGCAATCATTTGCCAGACCTGATCACAGGGTCAAGGTGTGTGCCTAGTACAAGCAGGTACAGACTATCATGTTATGGTCTGTTCTTACCTAGAATTCTCAAAGATGCTGCAGCATGAATTGGGGCGGTAGCCAGGAACGGTAAATTGGGGTACCAGATTATGCTGTTTTGATGGTGATACAATGAAATAAAGTTTTTCTAAAGCTACACTCCAGGCAAACAGCTGAATGTATACTTAAAATGCAAATTAGTAAACTGTTTTACTTTACAAAGAATTAGTATTTCCCTTGAGCATGACGCTCCTTGGTTTGGAATCGGCCCTCTGACTAACGAAAGTGCTTTGCTGTACCTATAAATTGCATATACATGTGTACTATATAACTATTAACTGTATGTTCATGACAATCATTCTATCCAGCAGAAAATGGTAACTGGCTAATATATGCTCTTTTATATATGCACACTGACATTCTCTGTGTAGTAATATATATCTTTTTTGTGCTGTTTCTTTTTCTGTGCCGTTCTCCTGGTGTCAGCACCTTCTGGAGCGCTCTTGGTATGCTGTTACAGAAACGTGTTTGGCTTTCACCGTGTTCCGGGATGATTTCAGCCCTCGCTTTGTAGCACTCTTCACTCTTCTGCTGTTCCTCAAATGTTTCCACTGGCTTGCTGAGGATCGTGTGGATTTTGTAAGTTATTTATTCATATTACATACCAATAACACGAAATGCATGCTGGCATTTGGTCTCTGCATACCTTTTTATATACTGTTATGGAATATGTGACACAAAAGTGGTGAAGTGATGGTAATGTATGTTTCCTAGTAAATGTTTCTTGGACTTGTATGGCATTGTGAGTGATCTACATAACATGGTAGAGGGTGGGTACCAGGTTCCTTGGTTATGTGTTGTTGGTATGAGAAAAAGTATAACTGAAAACACTGCTTTATCGGAAACCCGCTATAAGAGTAATGCAGGAACTGACTTTCTGAAAATGCTACTTGACTAGCTGTCATGTTAAGCCCCTGCCATTAACTCTGTGATTGCCAAGGGCGTATTCTTAATGTCATGGCTTAATGTCTTCGCTGTCCAGTGATGTGCAGTATGGAATATGTGATGGCAGTCAAAGAGTCAAAATAAGTTTGTAGCTGTGGGCTTGCGTTGTAATCCATAAGACCCCATTCACACTGAGCAACATGGAAATCGCGCGACTTTGAGCGACGTGTCGCGCGACTTTGAGCGACGTGTCGCGCGACTTCTTCCTATTGGGCTGTATGCAATCAGGGGCAATATCACTCAAAATCGCTCTAAAAAAGGGTCATGTAGGAGCGACAAGCTACAAGCGATATTGAGCGACGAGATGTGAACAGCTACATTGAAATGTATTGGTGAAGCTACATAGAGCGATATAGCGCGGAAATATGAGCGATATCGCTGCAAAAATCGCGCGATAAATCGCTCAATGTGAACGGGGCCTAAGCCTCTCTGTGAACTGCGCAAGAACTTTTGATGCCAGGTCCCATCTTCTCCTGCTGCCAGTCTTGGTTCTGATTTGCTTTGACATTCTGGATGGTGATTGGGGAGTTTCATGTTCACCTCTTTCTTCTTTTTGCTGTGTATGACCCAGAATGTCAGTGGGACCAGATGCTGAGGAGTACAGATCTTTACTTTTTAAGGAAAACATGGAAGGGTGCCTTTGTTGACTTCTTATTTTGAAAGTGCCAGTTGTCTTGCTGTGATGGTGACTCCCCTTACTTCAATACTTTGAGTCACTGAAAAGTATGTAGATAAGGAATTCTAACTTTTCTCCAACATTCTGATCTGCATACCAGTGCATTAGATGCTTTCAAAGCCAACGAGTGGAAATAATAGCCAGGCAACAAGCATTTGCACGTTAGCAGTGGCAGCCTTTTTATAGCGTTCAATACAGATTGCAGACAGTTTGTTTTGTACATTCAAGGCCAAGAACAATCTTTTATTCGAGTCACTGCAAGATACCCTGGCAAACCATTTACTAAGAAAGAAGATAGCGGCTATAGTTCTGAAAAGGCGAGAGATTCTGAAATGGAAATTGCTTATCTGGTTCTGATCTCTCTGTGTAGGAACAGAAAGTAATTCCAACCCCCCATATCCCTACCATGAACAAGAGAAGAACACTCATCTTGCTGTTTCTAGTGTTTTCAAAATCCATCCCCTCTAATAATTATATAATTCTAGAACTTGATTATGTTGGGATGGAAAAGCTGTAGTAACACATTTTAACAAAGATGAAATACAGATTTGCAGTTCCACTGGACAGCTCAAGGGTCAGATGTCATTTGGCGATTTCCATTTGCTGGAACATCCCTTGCTTAGTAGGATTTAATATAGTATAGGTTAACTGTAACACTAAGTTATGCAAAAACAATGATCAAATGCTATGTTTTGTTCTGAATGGGGCATAAGTAAACCTCCTTCGGACAGTATCAAATTTTGTAGCATTCTGTGTCCTGCAATACACTGTACAAACTAAATGCACAGCAATGATTGGGTTACCATGATGTGGTTTCTTATGGTTGCACTATACTACATGCTAGTGACCTGTACAAATACACTTCCAGGCCAAAAAAGTCATCACCTTGATTTAACTAAGGAAATAGGTCAGAGCCTTCCATTGGGCAATTAGTCTAGATTCAGAAATGTTATGTCCGCAAAAAAGGGGTCACCTGAATATACTGAATGATCAGGTTTTTCTGTCAATGGGTTTTTACTGCCCTGATGGCACCGGTATATTCCAAGATGGCAATGCCAGGATTCATCTGACTCAAATTGTGAAAGAATGGTTAGGGGAACATGAGACATCATTTTGCCACATGGATTGGCCACCACAGAGTCCATTGAGAATCTTTGGGATGTGCTGGGGAAGACTTTGCATATTGGTCTGACTCTCCCATCATTACTACAAGATCTTGGCGAAAGTTGAATGCAGCTCTGGATGGAAATAAATGTGACATTGCATAAGCTATTGAAATGATGCCATGGTGAATGCGTGGCGTAATTGAAGCTAAAGGCGGTCCAACAAAATATTAGAGTGTGTGTGACTTTTTTTTTCGACAGGCATTGTATTCCACTGATCTCACTTTCTCCTTCATTCTCTTCTTGTGCCATGTTTCTCATACCATAACATCATCTCTTCAACATTTCACGGGGAGGTGTTCTTTTTATACCTGTCGGTTTATTAGGAGTGCTTGTAAATGAGTGAGGCTGTTGGGTAACTGAAGGTTCTGTGCTTGCTTTATCATTGTATCCTTGCTTCATTACAGATGGAACGCAGCCCAAACATTTCCTGGCTGTTTCATTTTCGTATTCTTGGTAGGTGATCTATTTTTTTACGTGCCAATATCTGCTTTTTTGATGGCTCTACATATGTGGCAGTCTAAACAGATCAAAAAATCTTCTGAACAAGTCACAGTTAATGCTTTATTAAATAAAAAAACTCCAGTTTAAGTCGCATAAATAGCAAAGTTTGGGCATGCAAGGTACGCCCTAAAATGCTTGATATGAGTAACATCTAAGTATTGAGGCTGTACCTCACATGTCCTCCTCCACAATTTGACAGCTGGGTCCTATTTTTTGCTACAGGAGTTTAGATAGTGGTCCCTGTGTAACTTAAGCCAGTAAACCGTTAATTGCTGATGAGCCGTGATATACATAGACTGTCATACTTTTCATTGCCTCCCTCATTATCTGCACAAAATTACAGGTGAGGGAGGCAAAAGAAAAGAGGCAAGATTGATCTGTCAGTAAGCCATGGTAAATCAGCATCTATAGCCAGCCTGCCTGCACTTAGTCCTGTAGTGTTATATTAGTTCTCATGTTTCAGCATTTTAATGATACGTTTTTTCTGATGTCTTTGTTAAATGCTTATGGCATACACTCGTGTTGTAGAGCAGTTCACTACCACTTCCTCTTTCACGTTGGCCATTATGTGTTTGCATACAGCTGTATTTACTATAAATAACTGAAAATTCAAACCGGTTCCCAGGCTGCCAGTCTCCATTGTAGTGCCTGTGTTCTGCTTGTTTTCCCATACCATTCCTTGCAGGAGTATTGCATCATGCATCTGTCATTGTATTCAATACTGTGTTTGTATTAACAAGCTTTGTGTGTTTCTGTTCCCCGTACTTATTTTGTTTGAATAAGTATGATAATGAACATTGGTACCCTTAATTTTCATTATTTGTACTTACTGTGCCTGTCACTCTTTCTCTTCCAGCATTAATGCTCTTGCTGGGTGTTCTGGATGTTCTGTTTGTGTCTCATGCTTATCACAGTCTGGTCACCCGCGGGGCCTCTGTTCAGCTAGTCTTTGGCTTCGAGGTAAGTCAATAAATATACAGAGTCTAGATAAAAATATTTTGTAGAAAGTTGTAAGGCTGGCCATGCGCATACAGGTTGTGTAGCAATCTTTTGGCCATGAATGGCATTACCTAATTTGGGTAATGGGAAGTCCATCAATGGCTCCCACTAGATCACAAAGAATCTTAAAGCTAAAGAGATCAATACAAAAACAAAGAGGAAAAAAGATAGGAGGATGCAAAACTCATCTTGTCTTGAATTGTATTGTAACTGTAATGTCTTCCTTATATTGTAAAGCGCTGCGCAAACTGTTGGCGCTATATAAATACTATGTAATAATAATAATAACTCTATCACTCACAACAGTTAGTCAGATTTGGCTGTTATTCTAAAGTGTTAAAAACCGAGCATGCAAAACAAAAATGGCAGCCGCTAACTCTAGTAACCAGAACTTCTAACTTGGGAGATATAGCAAAGAGTAAACTGAGAACAGGTTTGTCCTGTGGTAGCCCATTCCACCCTAATGTTGCAGAGACAAACCAGAAGCACAGAACAGAAGCGTGGTCGCTGAAGACTTCCAGTGTGTATCTGCACCAAATCCAGCAAGCAAAGCAAAATTGGCAACCAGACTGATCAACAGGGATGCACCGATACCGGTCTTTCGATATCGAGTACCGATGTTTGTTTCCGGTACTCGCCAATAGCGAATACCGATACTGGAAGTCCCATTAAGGAAGCCAGGCGGTGTGTAATGACTCTCCACCTGGCTTCCTGACTATCTGGGAAGCTGGGCGGCGTGTATAGACTCACCACCCGGCTTCACTAGGTGACGAGAAAGCATGGCCAATCAGAAAGCCGGGCGCTGTGTAATGACGCAGAGCCCGGCTTCCTGATTGGCTGGGGAGCCGGCTCCCCGCTCCCTTGTCCTGTG